TTTCAGGGACTGCCGTGAGGAGTTCTGATCCTGTCTTATATTTTGGAGATCTACAGGTAACTTTGTTTGCCAAAAGGTGCAGCTTCTAAAAACAAGCAAATAAACAAAAACGAGCAAAATAAAACACCTCACAGCCCCTGAACCAGACAGTGAATGAGAGATAAGGTTGAACGAAGGCATCCGCTGGCAATGAGAGTGGTGATGGTGTGGTGGTGGTATGTGTGTGTGATGGCGGGGGCAGGGAGCAGCGTGGGGTGGGGTGGGGTGGCGTGCGGTGGGAAGTATGGACTGGAAGGAAAAAGAGGAAAACCAAAACAAGAGGGGAAAAATAAAACAAGATTAGCTTTTTAGTTCCAGCAAGTTGCCATTTTGAGGAAAGGGGAAACTCTGAGAAATGACAGGGGCATCCTGGCTGGTGAGTGCCTGCTTTGTCCCAGAGTTCTGCTCACGAGGTCTCACTCACAGAGTGCTTGTACAACCCCTTTGGTTCTAAGCATTCCGCGTTCCTATTTTAAAGGTGAAAGTACTGAGGCTCAGAGAAAGAAAATGACTTATCCAAGGTCATGTAGCAAGTAAACTGTACTGCTCAGATTCAAATCCAGCTCTGTTTGACCTCGAACCCACAGCCTCTCCCATTAGAATCACACTTCCTAGGAGAGGGTCGAGGAGTTACAGGTCAATGGGCACCAGGGGACCTGTAGCGCCTTCCTTTGGCGGCAGGGAGAGTAGGAGGATCTGTGGAGAAGCAGCAAGCAGAATTCGCGTTCTTGGCGATTAAGGGACTCGAAAGAACTGAAGAATAAGTAGGTGTTAGGTAGGCGAGGGCGGGCAAGAAGGAGGAAAGTTAGGAGGTGGAGGGGGAGAAGGTCTGAGCCTAGAGAGGCAGGCAGAAACTAGATCATGAAGGACGCTGTGGATGCCATGTGGAGGGGCTTGGGCATTATCCTGAGGGCAGCAGGGAGCTCTGGAATGGTTGGCCATTTGGTTATGCTGTCACCATGGAAGCAGTGTGGAAGATGGCTTGGGATGGGTCCAGGTGAGAGGGGATAGTGACTGGTGAAGATAGCTAGAATGGGGCTGGAGAGAAATGGATGGATCTGAGGCACATTTAGAAGGCAGACAGATAACATGAATAGACATACGTGGACAGTACAGGAAAATCAGGAGTTGAGAACTTAGGATTCTGGCCTGTACAACTGGATAACAGTGATAGCAGTAGAGTGTGATGACTAAGAGCAGTGGCTCTGATGCCTGACTGCCTGGGTTTGAATCCCAGATCTGTCACTGACTATCTGTGTGACCTTGGACAAGCTCCTTAACCTCTCTCTGTGGGCTTCAGTTCCCCTGCCTGTAGAACGAGGGTATTAATATCACGTGCCTTATAATGATTAAGTGAAGCAGTACATAAAGCACTTTGAACCATGTCTGGAGCATGAGAAGTGTTCAGTAAATGTTAGCAATTATTATAGACAACAAGGAAGAGGAATAGACTTCATGGAAATGATGATGAGTTCAATTCTAGGCATGCCAACTTTAGGGTGTCTGTGGGATACTCAGGTGGAAATTGGCTATATAAGTCTGTGGCTCAGGAGATATTTGGGTTAGAAATATGTATATGAGAGTCATAAGCTTATAGAGATAGTAATTGAAGCCTTGGGAGGCTTTTTCCGGGGGAGGGTAGAGGGAGAGAGAGAGAGAGAATACCAAGCGGACTCCACACTGAGTGCAGAGCCTGATGGAGGGCTGGATCCCATGACCCTGAGATCATGACCTGAGCTGAAGTCAAGAGTCAGATACTCAACCGACTGAGCGACCCAGGTGCCCCGAAACCCTGGGAGGTTTGGCAGGGAGAATTCGTAGAGAAGAAAAGGAGGCTACGCGCAAACCTCAGCTTTTGTCGGATGGACAGAGGGAAAAAGAGTGCAATGAGGAGGCTGAGCAGCAGCCTGAGAGTCAGGAGATGAACCAGGGGAAGGGCACACCATCGCAGAGGCCAAGATGAGTGAATGTTTCACAATGGAGGCAGTGGCCAGTGGCAGCAATGCTTTGGAGAGGCTTATGTAAGAGGAGATCTGAGAAATGACAATGGCGCTTAGCTACAAGGAGATCATTGGTGACAATAGTTTTCATGGAATGATACAACAGGATGTCAGACTAGACTACATTGGGTTGAAGAGCAGGAGTGAGGAAATGGAGATAGCAAGTGCAGACAGCTCTTTCCAGAAGTTTGTCTGTGAAAGGGAAGTGAGAACAGATTACACAGGGTTATGGGGAGACAGAGGGCGTCCTTCAGTGCCAATGGAGATGAGGCCAGGCAGACAATGGAGGATGGAAAATGGGAGGTACAGGGGCGAGGGGAGGCAATTGAGGCTTGAGGGGGCTGAAATGGAGAGGAGATGGAATGCAGAGTGCAGGTGAGGAGGTCTGCCTCAGGCAGGAATCATTACAGGGAAGGAGGAAAGTATGGATGTGGTGAGTGAGCTTGTAGATTTCCCTGTGGAATGTTCGCGCCTTGTGGCTTTTCTTTCTTTTTTTTTTTTTCTGTGAAATCAGGTGAGGGGAGGGACACCTAGGTGGCTCAGTGGTTGAGTGTCTGCTTTCAGCTCAGGGCTTGATGGGGCGGGAGGGGGGGTGGCGGCGGCGGCAATGGAGTCCTGCAACAGGAGCCTGCTTCTCCCTCTGCCTGTGTCTCTGCCTCTCTCTGTGTGTCCCTCATGAATAAATAAATAAATAAAAACTTAAGAAAAAGAAAAATAAATCAGGTGAGGGGGACGTGTGGTAAGGCTGAAAGTTTGTGGATGATAGTGGAGGCCGTGGTGCTCAGAGAGCCACTGGAGAGAATGGGAGAGAGAGCCCAACGGGGACTCAAGGAAAGGTTGCCCAGCCACACTGAAGGCCCAGTGGAGGTCGAGACTCTGCATTTATAGTGTTTTCCATCTGCAAGGTTGGGGTGTTTTCTCCAAGCAGTGCTTAGCAGTCCCGGGGGAGGAGTAGAAAGGGTAGATATTTGGATTGATTTAAAGGCTTACGAATTCACAAGGCAGACATACTGAATCAGAAAGATGAGGATATTGGCAAGTGAGTAGTTAAAAATGATTGCCCTGTAATTCCCCTGCTCTTCAATTCAGAAGCTCCCCCTCCCGCTTCCAGAAGTTCCCCCTTTTCTTTACTCTATGTCATAGCTTCTGCTTCACTCAAGGCTCTTTCTTTTAATTTTTTTTTATTTATGATAGTCACAGAGAGAGAGAGAGAGAGAGAGAGAGAGAGAGGCAGAGACACAGGCAGAGGGAGAAGCAGGCCCCATGCACCGGGAGCCCGACGTGGGACTCGATCCCGGGTCTCCAGGATCGCGCCCCGGGCCAAAGGCAGGCGCCAAACTGCTGTGCCACCCAGGGATCCCCACTCAAGGCTCTTATACCACCTCATGGCTTCTGCCTCGTGTGTGTGTGTGTGCTTCTGCCCCCCTTTATGGACCAAGGACCCTCTCGTGTCTCATGTTCAGCTTCCACAGGAGAGCCTATCTGAGTGATTCCATTATTCATTAGCTCTTATGTTTGGCAGCTAGCTCAGGCTGCTGGCCAACCTATGGGTTGACTCTGCCCTGAGTCAGGGACCTACGTCTGGTCCATCCAGCTGTTTCTAACATCAACATTCTTCAGAAGGTGCAGTGAGTAAGACAAGCAGAATGGGTGAGAATGGAGGCTCTGGAGCCAGATGCCTAGGCTCAAATCCAGGCTGTTCCACTTACCATGTGAACTTGGGCAATTTGCTTCACCTCCCTGATACGTAGTTTCCTCATGTCTTAAAAGGATTCAGTGAGGGATGCCTGGGTGGCTCAGCGGTTGAGCATCTGTCTTTGGCTCAGGATGTGATCCCGGGGTCCTGGGATGGAGTCTCTCATCAGGCTCCCTGTGAGGAGCCTGCTTCTCCTTCTGCCTATGTCTCTACCTCTCTCTCTGTCTCTCATGAATAAATAAATAAATAAAACCTTAAAAAAAAAGGATTCAGTGAGAGTACTTGTCCCAGAAGATCTTTGTGCGAATGAAATAAGATAATAAGCGAAAAGTACCTAGTACAGTACCCGGCACATAGTTATTTCCCTGTAAGGATTATGTGTTAGTAGTATTATTACTGTTATGATCATTTTACTGTGAAGGCAGGCACTTAGGGCCTCATAGGCTTTTGGACAAGACATCAGGGGGAGGCGGGATTTGAACCTCAACGCAATTTAACGGACAGTCTTTTCTTCACACCAGCTTTTTGCTATTTTCAGGTCTTCTGACCTTCCCTCAGGGAATGTTTGTCACCCTACTGTCTCTGAGGGCCCAGAGCTTTCAGTCTAGTGAGTCTGCTGCAGGCTGAGGACTGAGCTGCCGCATCTGCTTATCCTTGGCTGGGAAGGAATCCTGGCAGCCTGACCTCTCTTGTGCAGTCGTTGGTTTCTATGAGTCATGCTTCTCTTATGCTAAGCCCAGCTTGGATTTGGAAGGGGGCTAGGGGAGTAGGGGTGGGGTGAGGGGAGGAAAGGGAGGAGGAAGACAGCAACTTAGCTTCTGTCTGAGTTTGTTGGTTAGCTCAAGTTATAGGACTCTTAGAGCCGGAGTGAGGGGATTTGAGGCCCCACTGTGACCAGGCTGCAATGGAGGGGAACCTTCATTGAATTTGTGAAGCCCAAGATATCCAGAGTATGAGCCACACCACCTCCCCAGGCACCTTGACAGTCAGGACATCCCCTCTCCATCTCTCTCTCCCCTAACCCAGATGGGTAAAGATTTATTTTCCCAGAAAAGAATGCAAATCACTGACCCAGGGGAAAGCGATAGATCCAAGAGGCCCATTGCCCAGAGATTAGGCTCCTAGAAATGCCCCACCCTCATGAAATAGGTCCCAGATGGCTTTGTCTGAGCTGGTGTTTCCCCAAGGACTGGGGCGGGGGTGGGGGGGACAGGCCACTGGTGGCACAAGAAGTAATTCCAAGTGGTATATGGCTCAATGTTTTTTTAACTTCATTAGTCACGAATTTCTTTTAACGTGTTTTAGAAAAGATCTAAGTAGCGCATGAACGTTGGTGGCTTCAAGGGTATTATGGATTAGAACCATGCTGAAGCTTTTTTCTTTTTTCTTTTTAAGATTTTATTTATTTATTTATTCATGAGAGACACAGAAAGAGAGGCAGAGACGTAGGCAGGTTCCTCGCGGGGAGCCCGATGTGGGACTCGATCCCTGGACCCCAGGATCACGACCTGAGCCAAAGGCAGACAGACGCTCAACCACTGAGCCACCCAGGCGTCCCAGGAAACACCCGTCTTAAACAAATCCTGTTACCTTTTCTGCTGCCTCTTCTACCCTCCCCCGCCCCCTCTCCCAGATTTGGGGCTTCTGCTTTGGGAGTTGGCTAGTAGACACATTAATCTGCCTGGTCGATTGTCTTCTCACCAGATCAAAGCCCAAAGCTTCATCTCCTTTTCTTGACTTCGTTGGTCTCTGTTGAGGGCTCTCATTTCTCTCCCTCCCACCCCCACTCCCATTCCCCCTTCTTCCCCTCCTTCTCCCACCACCTCTCTCCCTCTCCCTCCCTCTCTCTCCTGGCTAGCTTTTGGAGATATTCTTGACTCGTTCTGTTCCCTTTTTCATGCTCAATCACTGACCAAACCCCGTTCGTTCTTCCTTCATTGTACCTCTTGTACTGTGTCTCTTTCAACTGTCATCACCAAGGTAGATGCCACAGCCTCAGACCACACCTCATTATCCAATTAGTCTTTCTCCAGCATAACTTTCACCATGACTTTCTCCTGGACTGGTTCTCCACTGAGCATCAGATCATGGCCAAAGTCCTGAAGGAGTGATTCCTAAGTCCTTGGAATGTGGCCTCAGCCTAAGATCTACCCATATCTCCCATTCCTTTCCTAGGACCCATGTAGGTCTTTACTGCTCCTCAGGTAGACCACGCTCACTTCGAACTCTAGCTCTTCCCTATAAACCTTGATCAAAATAATTTTCTCAGTCCTTCTCATTTGATCACTTACTTATATGTCATATTGTGCTCTTTGTGGGCTTTTGTGTATGTGTGTCTCCCTCAGTAGACTCAGCTTCTGAGGTAAAGGAGTGTGTTTTCCATTTCTTTTGTAACCCCATTGGTACTTAGCAAAGTGCTAGGTGCCTGGCAGATACAGTTGGGTATACTTTGAGCTGCAAGTATCAGAAAACCCAGCCTATTAGCAGCTTAAACACGTAGAAGTTAATTTTTTTCACAGAACAAAAAGTTTAGAGGCAAGTGTTTGCTTGCTCTACCATCCAGAGTGAATTGGCTTTCAGCCTCATACTGGTTGCCTCGTGGCCACAAGGTGACTGCTGCACCTCCAGGTATCACATCTGAATCCCAGCAGGAAGGAGGAAGAAGGACCTAAGGCCTCTCCTCAGGGAACTTTCCCCTGTTATTTGAGAAGGGAGTGCTCTCCCAGGAGACTGACCCTTTCATCCCACCAGCCAGAATTGTGTCATGTGCTTACTCTTAGACCAATAACTGGTTTAGACCAATTCTAATTCGAGCCCAGGACTGGGGCTGACAAAGATCCTCTCATATCAGGGAAAGGGTCTTTGCCAACTACCTGAACAAACCGAAGTTCTGTTAGCAATCAAGAAGCAGGGAGGGAGGGATCCCTGGGTGGCGCAGCGGTTTAACGCCTGCCTTTGGCCCAGGGCGCGATCCTGGAGACCTGGGATCGAATCCCACGTTGGGCTCCCGGTGCATGGAGCCTGCTTCTCCCTCTGCCTATGTCTCTGCCTCTCTCTCTCTCTCTGTGACTATCATAAATAAATAAATTAATTAATTAAAAAAAAAGAAGCAGGGAGGGATAGCTATTAGGTAGGCAACTGGCCGTGTATACCAAAAAACTCAATAGAGACTGGTTTAGAGAACAAGTAGCTTGCTCTTTTTTGTTTGTTTGCTTTGTTTTGTTTTGTTTTGAACATCATTTTTAAAAAAGCTTTTATTTGAGAGATAGAGAGTGTGTGTGTGCATATGGTGCAGAGGGTAGGAGACGCAGACTCCCCGCTGAGCAGGGAGCCCGACATGGGGCTCGATTCCAGCACCCTGGGATCATGACCTGAGCCAAAGGCAGATACCCAACTGACTGAGCCGCAGGCACCCCCAGCCTGCTCTGGTTTTGAGTCAGGTTCTGAGATGTGGAGGGTTTGAGACCAAGAGTTTTCCAGAAAAGGCCATCTTCCCTGTGCCCACACAACTGCACCCAAGTGTTCCCCAGCTCTGAGTTGGAAGGTCAGACAGACTAAATGGGCTCTCAGCTGTGCTTTCCTCAGATTAAAGGAAGAGTCTGAGCAGAGTGTGGTGCTGTCCCATTGAGTGACTGCTAGGTGAGTAGTTTCTCCCGGTGGCTCTACTTCCAGGACTGAGTGAGGAGTAAATGGAGAGGCCTGCTTCACCATGGAAGAAACCATTCCTGTCTTCGGATCTTTGGTTTTCATGTATGTTTTCTGAAGTAGGTCTGAAACTGAATTTGCATCCAGAGAAAAAAACCCAGAAGAGGAACCTTCCAAAGGCAAATTATACAGAGTGCTATTTATTATGGCAACAAAAAGAAACCACCCAAACAGCCAATTATTGGGATCTGGCTAAGCAGACTGTGAGTTTTTGTATATTTGGCTGTACTATGGTCACCAGGTTTGACAACTTCATGAATTCTGCTGGCACACACACGAAAAATATTTGTATGGACTGATGTTAAGAGAAAAAAGAACAAAATAGTCATGGTTCTGAGCCTCTGTCTCCCCTTCACAGAATAGGGTATGCCAGTACCTGTCTCCAAGGTTGTGGGAACGGAACTTTGGGATAGACAAAGCCTTGGGCTTGCCCAATGCTGGGTGTGGGGGTGGGATTGTAGAGGAGAGTAGTGGCACAGGACAGTCCTGTGTGTGGGTAATTGGGCAGAATCAATACAAAAAAACCCATATACAATAGGTCTGATATATTTGACCAAGGTGAAGCACCTATCACACTAGGATTCGCCAGCTTCTTCTACAGTGGCACTTATGTCCCGATGGAAATGTGGGCACCAGAAGCCTCCGAAGTAAATGATTGGGGAACGGGTGGCATACTTTCTCCGAGAAGGGGCACAGAGCAAAGGTTTTCACATTGACACATCGTTCACTCTGTCACAACTGCTCAACCGGATAGGCGATCACATTGGTCTGTGGCTTTCCTCGGGGAACTTTATTGCCAGGCTGGTTTGGCGTACAAGCTGGGTTTGCCCACCCCCCGGCCCCATCTTCGTCCCCTGCCCGGCCTGCAGAGGACTTTCTTGGTTGTAGGGTTGATGGGTGTCTTCTCTGCCTTAAGGTTCTCTATTCAAGACGAGTAATCTCGGGCCAAGCAACACGCTTTCCATCCTGCCAGGGATCCCGAAAATCCTAATGACCTTTGCTAGTGGCTGAATCATTCAGTGCATCTTTCCTCCCTTGTAAGAGAGCAGTTACAGTGGGTACCTCAACCTTAGTATTGTCTTGAGGATGTACGATTAGTTTATACAGTGCTTACAAGAGGGCCAGCGATGACTCCACCAGGAAAGCAGGCTCCAGGCCAGGCCAGGGGAGGCGGGACCAGAGCAGCCGGGACCAACGCCTGGACTCGCTCACACCGAAACCCGAAACCCGAAACCCGAAACCCATAGCCCCTCCAGGGTGAACCAACGGCCTTCGACTCTATTGGTCAGGGCCTCGATGGGCGGGCCAACAAGGGGCGCGCTGGTTGGCTGGGGACGGACCAATGAGGAGGCGGCGGCGCGGGCCTCAGAAGGGTGCGCCAACCGCGCGTTGTTTGAGGCCATCTTGTGCTGCGCCGCGACGACGCCACGTCGCCCTCCCGGGGCTGGGCACCGCGCCTGTGGCAACCGCCGGAGTCGCCAGGACACCTCGCGCCTCCCTCCACGCGTCGCACACCGCTCGCCTCCCGCCTCTCCCCTCTCGCCTGTCGCCGTTGGCGCCTGGACCAGGGTGATCGTCTCCGCGGAACCCCCGGCTGCCAGGCCTCGCCAACATGAGCGCCCCCGACGAGGTGTCTGTCTGGGGAGCGGGTTTCGGTCCGGAGGGCGGGGAGCAGGCCAGCGGAGCCCCGCGGGGACCAGGACTAGGTCTGGATCCCGGGCCGCCTCGGAGCGGCGAGGGTGAGGGCGGGTTCCCAGACCCCGAGGGCTTCGAGTCTGAGCGGGAAGTGATGGAAGCGGGAGGGCCGGTGCTTTGGGGCCGCGAAGGCCGCCCCGGCACCCCGGCCGACGACAAGGGGGACGCCCTGGACTACGCGTCCCACCTTGCTGACGAGTCCGGGGCCGCCATCGTGCAGCAGCTGACCGACCCGGATGCCCTGGGCGTGCGGAGAAACCCATCCCCAGAGAGCTGCGCCGCTGAAGGGTCTGGCGTTTGGGCGGGCCTAGAGGCAGGGCCCGGTGGTCGAGGCGCGCTTGCCCTGAGCCGCGGAGAATCGCAGCCGCCTTCCGCTGTCCCGCTCCACCTCGGTGGGCCCGAGGGAGCCCGGCCCCGGGGGAACCCGAGAAGAGGTTCCAAGAGCAGGTCCACCGTCAGGGTGGATCGCCAGCGGCCCTCCGCCAAAGGCCCGGGCCGGCGGCCTTCCGACCCTGAGTCATCAGATGAGTTCGGTGAGATACAGCTGATGAGGGTGAGCATTTACTCCAAAGAAAGAGGCCAAGCCAAGCCCAACAGCCCCGAGGATCCCGGGGACACACCCAGACAACCGAGTTTCCATGTCAGGGAGAATTTCCTTCACGTGCCAGGTTCTTTCCTGTCCTCGGCTCCCCGAGGATTCACTTCGGTTGTGGAGAGGCAGGCCGTGGGAGAGTTGGACATCTCCTCCTCTAAGAAAATGCAAAGTGTGGTCTGGGGGAAGGGAGGGAACAGGCCCAGCTACCCAGTAGCCGCCGCCGCCGCCACCGCTGCTGGCAGCCTGCCCCCGGCCACCCCTAGGAAGAAGGTGGCCCAGGAGAAGAGATCCGTAGGGGGGGCCTCAAAAGTTACCCAAGGGAGAAGCTTTCCTCCCTGGGGGCAGAGAGTCTCGGCAGCTCCCCTGGAACCAGCCACCTTTCCCCCAATCTCTGGGGTTCCGCTGCTTGGGAGGAACAAGAGGTATTCCTTGGTTCCATCGGGAAGCAAACAGTCCAAGCACACCGGCCGCTCCCGGAAGAAATCTGGGCCCAGGAGGACACGGGAGTCGGAGCCAGTGGTGGTGACAGGAGAAGGCAGTGACTCAAACAGAGACACAGTGCCCAAGGGCCAAGTGAGTAGGCCATGCTCCTCCTCTTCTGTGCACCCTTCCCCTTCCCCTCCTCCTCCCCTGCCTCGTACTTCTTTACCCACAAACCCTGTCCGTCCCTCAGGGGTTGCCATGGGTGCCCCTGGGTCATTGGGATCGTTCGGATGCCAGATCGGGTCGTGGGTCTTTTTCACGGGGGCAGACAGTAAACTAAGGTAGCACTCCGTGTGTACCCGCCACCGTTCTGGACCCTTGGCACGTTTCCTGCCTCCTCCCGTCAGAGAGGGGCTGGGATGGATGGGAGGGCTGGTAGCTGATTTGAAGCCAGGAACCCCTTCAAAGTCTGGAGCACAAACCTTCAGCCTTTAGACTCATCAGCTTCCTGCTTCCTGTTTTCTAGCTGGTCCCCAAACCTTGCTTGTGGGGAGCCTGGCCTTTGTCAGCCCGCTACTCCTTCTGCCTGGCTCAGCTCTGCCTCCTGGCCCGGGGCTGACTGAGGGAGAAATCACCAGCCACATCGGCCTCTCAATTCCCTTCCCTATTCCCTGTCTCACACCACCCGTACACGCACGTGTGCAGATGTGCACCTGTGCCCACCTACCCACGCTCACAGACACACGCACAAGCACACCCCACGTCCCAAGTCAGATCAGTGAGAAATGTTTCCTTTAGCTTCCAACACACAGGCCAGGGCCATGTTGTTCGGGCACGCATCGTGGAGAATGCAGCAGTGGCGACCTCGACACCAGAGCCCCCGAAGTTCCAGGAAGCTCCGCGCCCTCAGCCCTGAGCCAGGGAGACGTCATGCCCAGAGGGCGTGCACCCTCCAGTGAGTCCTGTGGGTTTCACAGGAGTGCAGGGGAGAGGAGATGAGGAGGGAAACTTCTGGCTCTGGCTCTGCTGGGGGCCTGTCAGCTTTGCTGCCTGCCTCCCCACCTAGCCAGGCAGCTTCTCCCAAAGGACCGGCCTTCAGCCACATCGTCCCCTGCGTGCGGTTTGTGCAGCAGGGGTGATTCGTGGCACTGCCCCCAAACAGCAGCTCAGGACATAGGCTTTGAGCAGAACAGAGCCGTTTTTCTGTTCAGTCCTGTTTGGCCACATTGCGCGTCCTGGGGGCTGCCTGTGGCTGCAGCTCTGGCAGAGTGCAACCCAGAGCCCCCGTCCCTGGGGACCACCTTCAAGGATGGGCCGCCCCTAGGGGACAGGAGGGGCAGTCCCAGAGAGAAGGTTGGAGCTGCTGGCAGAGCAGGGGCCACTTGTTGCCAGCAGAGGGTGGTGCTGCCTCACGTTAGACCCCGCTTAGGCCCTCTCCACCTCACTGGGGGCCTTGGAAGCTGGATTTCATGTTCTCTCCCTCTCAGGTGACCAGGAGCCGCTTGACCACCTCCCAAGACCGGAAAGGCTGCAGCAACCACCTGGAACACAGGGCTGTCCTCGGGTACTGCTGCTTCTGGCTCCTAGAAACGCAAGCTCAAACTAGATGGTGGGATCCGTGTCCAGGCTAAACTGCCATGTGTGCCTCTTCCCCCTGTCCCCCCACCTCGCCTCCATTCTGCTCCCCACAGAGGGAAGGCGCCTCCTTTCCACTGAGGAGCCTGTGCCAGTCTGGTCACTGGGCCTGGGGATGTAGTGCCCGTGGGAGAAGGGGAGGGGCCGGAGAGAGAGGAAGCCGGAGGATGCTAATCATTGCTGTCTCTCTGCTGTCTGCTGGCCTAGTGTCTCGTGCTACAGAGAGAAATAGACGACCTGAAAGAGCAGCTTGGTATGAGGAGCCTCTGGCTGGGGCCCGGGTTGGGGCAGAGGCAGGCTGCAGGGAGGGCGGGGAGGGGGGGCGCGCGTCTCAGTGCAGCACCCCACCCGGGATGGGCTGTAGGTGCAGGCAGCCGCACGGGGCCCAACATCCCTGTGGGGAGGAGAACCGAGCAGGCCTGGCCCTGGAGCCCGCTGTGCATGTATAGTTAGCTAGGTGTGCGCACAGACAGGGAAATACGGCCTCAACTGCACACATGCTTTGCCAGGGAAAACGTGTCCCAGTGGTCTCCCCCTTTTAGGACGTTTAGGGATGCCTCGTTGATTTTCCCTTTAACTGCTCCTCTGTATGGCTGGCCCGGTGTGTGTTCGTGTGCGTCTGTGAGCGTGTGTGTGTGTGTGTGTGTGTGTGTGTGTGTGTGTGTGTTCGTTCGCCAGTTCTGAATGGTTCCGATGTGCCCCCAACAAAGCTTGAGAAATGCTGGCACATGTTGTTCCCTTAGAAAACGCATCCATATTTAATTCAAGTTGGGGGTGAGTGAATCAGGCCCAGGGCTCTCTGGATAGTGGCTGGAGGGGGTTTCCGGTTGCGGGGCTGGGTGGTTCCCCACGGGGACGGAGGGACGGGCTTCTACATCCCCGTGTCTGGAGTGCCTGCTCACGCCTGTCTCTGTTTCAGCAGCCATGCAGTCCCTGACTGACAAGTTCCAGACCCTTTGAAGTGAGTGTTACACACACCATACCCCCTCCCCACAGTCGTGGCCGCTTAGGAGGGCCGTGGGCTGGCCCCGGCTCTCGATGCTCTTCCCTGACTCTGCTCTCTTTGGCAGGTCGGGCCCAGCATCTCCGTACAAGAGGATCAGCTGGTACTTCTGGAGCCAGGAAGTTGTGGCCAAGCTGGTTCCCTCCTGTTCCACCTCAGCCAGGGCTTCCTCTCCCTGTTCTTGTGCCCCCTCCCCACCCCAGTTCACAGCAGTTTCAAATTAAAGTACCTCTCAGGTCTGTGGTCTGCCTTCTCTGTTGGTGGTGGTGGAGGGGGAGGGGGCGGGGCAGGGCAGGGAGCTGCTCCATTTCCCAGCCTTTTCCAGAACAGGACCTCTGGTATCCTGTGGTAGGCCTTCCTGTGGGGAGCTTGGGCCTGCCTCTGCTAGGAGCCCTGCGGTCACGTCCCCCTCGTGCCCCGCGTCTGGGTTCTGCGTGGGCTCTGCCTGGCCACGTGAGCATATGCGGTGCCCCTTCCCCACCCCCCGTGGGCCCCCTTCAGGTTCTCCCCTAATCTCCCCCTCTTTTGGGGTCTCTAGGTGCCCATTCACCACCCCTTCCGCCTTCAGCAGGAACCGGGGACCCCTTCCAGAGCTCCTGTCCCTCTTCCCTTCCCTCCTTGGGATCACTGTCCTGCTTCTCCTGGCCAGCCTGCTCTGCTGTCTGAGCGTCCTTCATCACTCCCGTGGCTTTCTGTCATCGCTGGCCCTCCCTGGCCCTGTGCTTCCACGGGTGTTAAAGAGCACAGCTGAGCTCATCCTCCCACCCCCTCCCCGGGCCCAGTCCCCTCTGCGCAGTCCTTCCCTCTCTCAGTGCCACCACGCACAAGGACAACTGGCCCAGGAACTGGCACATCCTCCTCCTTAGCCTTGGGTTTCCAGACCCATCAGTTCTCCCTCCTCGCGTTCAGTAGGGGGGCGGAGGCAGGAGTCACAGCCCAGCTACAGGGCAGGTGCAGGGGACTGAGGAGAGGAGCACAGCTTAGTCTCTGGGCTGGAGGTGGGGGCAGTGAGGCTGGTGGTGGCTCTGGGCCAACCTGGGGCAACCTGGCCGCCAGCAGCTGGAAATGGATGGTCTAGCTGTCGCAGTTCTCACGTCCCTCCTGTCCCAAGCTGGCTCACCGCCCCCCTCCGACCTGTACTCTTGATTGGAAAGCGGCCGTCCGTTTCTATGGCAAGTGTGCGTGATGGGTCTCCAGGTGCCTGTGTGGTCCCCTCGCAGTGCTGTTGGACCGGCACCACCGTGACACAGGGCTTCCTGGAAGCGCTGTTTCTGTGCTCAGGCTCCCTGACCGCCACTTCAGGTCACACAAGATTTAGTCTGGACTCCCTGTTCCACTGCCCCCTTGCTGAAGGGTGGCGATGGCCTCCTTCCTTCAGCCAGGACCCAGGGCTCTGCTGGCCTGAGACTCAGAGGGACAGATCTGGGTCTGAGTGGTGAGAGGGTAGCTTCCCGAGAGACCGGGTATTTCATGCACAGCAGGGAGGGGGGAGGGGTTCGGTGGTCCACAGAACAGACAAGGCTGGTGTGTGCGTCTGGACGTGTGTGGGAATGCAGTTGATCGGGGATGATCTCCCTTGAGGGAGAGAGAGACGATTCCGGGAGTAAAGGGAGTGGGGCCTGTGGTCAGGAACCCGTGAGGGATTGAATGAGCAGAAGCAAGGGGGCGGATTCACTTTTCAGGGGCTGCTGTTACTTTCCTAACCCTGGAGGGGAATGACGTGGAAGTCCCCAGACGTGGAATGACGCCAGGACAGGGTGCCGGGACCCTCCAAAGGCCGGGAGCCCCCAGAGGAGTCTGTGGATCCTACTCTGTGATCCTATGCCGTCTGAGTCCTCCCGTGTGTGTTGAAGGGAGGAGAACGGGAGGGAAGGCTAGCTCGGAGTGGCTGGGACAGGCGGCATCTTAGCAGCAGGGAGCTCGCCTGGGACATTGCTCTGCCAGGAGCTGAGGGGGACAGGGGCAGGATGGGCACAGTGAGGCTGGGAGGTCGAGAGTGGCTTCCCCACGGAAAATGGGGCCGACTTGGCTCCCCACTATTCTCAGCCTGCCTGCCTTCGGGGCCCTGGGCCATGAACTCGGGGCCAGACCCTCTCCCACGGGGGTGGGACAAGCGCAGACCTTGGCCTGGAGAAGAACATTCGTGGGACTTAATCCTTCCACTCCAAGCCTCTCACTTGAGAAGGTGGACGTTGCTTAGGGCACGTCCAGCCTGGACCCAGAGGCTGTGGTTATTTCCTGGCGGGGTAACACGGTGCGCTGTCAACTGAGTGAATGCTTTTGGCACACACCTTCCCGCTGGGGTGTCCGTGGGTGGACTCGAGGCCAAGCGGCGACCGGGGAGAAGCCCAGCACCCGCACCGCCCAGGAGGCCCAGAGCCGTGGTGGCCACCGTGAGGAAGGGGAGAAGGGGACGTGGCAGGGCATGGGCACAATCCTCGCTGACTGGTTTGGCCAGCCTCCCTTCCCTCCTCTGAGCTCACGATCTCTGTTCCATATTCAGACTCAGTACCACAGAGTCATGTTGTTGTAAACCCATACATCACAGGCTGTGGCTCGGCACCTTCCTGCCCCAGGAGAAGTAAGTGGCAGATGGTGAGGCAGAGATGAAGGGAGTACTTGTCCCCAGGGGAGACGAGGAGGTGGGACCCCCGCCCTACGGCACTGTGCCCCTTTTGCCTTCCCCCTCACGCCCCCTCTCCAGCCAGGGAGGCAGTGGTGGCTGGCCTGGAGAGCTCTAGGCTCCGGCCTGCCTCGTTCTGCTGCCTTCCCAGCTCCGGGGCCGATGCCTCCCTCTCCACCACCCCCAGCACCAGCGCCAGTGCCAGCGCGGCCACCAGCAAGCCTTTCTCTGCAGATGCTTGGAGGGGCGGGGCTGGGCACACCCCAGGAGTGCAGGAGGTGGTGAGCACTGGAGACGGAGCTGGGCGTGGTGGGCAGAGGAATGGTCCCTGAAGATGCCCACGTCCCAATTCCTGGAATCGGCTCATAGGTTGTGAGCTTGCGGGGCGGCGGCAATGGTGGTGAAGGCTGCAGATGTCATTATGGTTGCTACCCGGCTGACCTTAGTTGGGGAGATTCTGGCCTGTGTTTGCTCTGTGTGGCTGACCCGCATGCTGGAGGTGCCAGTGATCCATGTGAGCTGTTACCTGCATGATCCTTGGGTGCACCATTTGCATGACTAGAGGGTGTTCACTGCCCCTGTGTTCCTGCCGGGGTGTATTCCTGGGAACTACCACTCCGATTTAGAGAAAGTTGATAGTAATATAATCTCTTCTTTTGCCCCATGCCAGTCTCTTCTCCTCCCTAGTTCTCTCGAGGTTCTCTCATCGTGATCCTCAAATTCGAAAAGTAATTGGTAAGACACAGTATCCATTCATAATGTACTTTTCACAATTTTTTAAAAGTTCAAAATTACTGAGGGGCAGCCCGGGTGGCTCAGCGGTTTAGCGCCGCCTTGAGCCCAGGGCCTGATCCTGGCGACCCGGGATCGAGTCCCACATCGGGCTCCCTGTGTGGAGCCTGCTTCTTCCTCTGCCTGTGTCTCTGCCTCTCTCTCTCTCTCTCTCTCTCTGTGTGTGTGTGTGTGTGTGTGTCTCTCATGAATAAATAAATAATTTTTTTTTAAATTTGTTTTTTATTTTTATTTTATGATAGTCACAGAGAGAGAGAGAGAGAGAGAGAGAGAGAGAGGCTGAGACACAGGCAGAGGGAGAAGCAGGCTCCATGCACCGGGAGCCCGACGTGGGATTCGATCCCGGGTCTCCAGGATCGCACCCTGAGCCAAAGGCAGGCGCCAAACCGCTGCGCCACCCAGGGATCCCAATAAATAATTTTTTAAAGTTCAAAATTATTGAGACAGAATTTACAGCAAGGTCTGAAATCCTTAAGTACTCATAATGTTAGGGAACTATCACCACAATCAAACTACAAAAAACCTTCATCACCCACCAAAACCCATCATGCTCTGGTAGTTCAAACCCTTCTCTCAACCCCAAGACATGGGAAACTGCCAATCAGTTCTCTGTCCTTAAGGTCTGGACTTTGTGAGAATATCAAAGAAAGGGAATCCTGTGGCTCTAAGGGTTAAGAGCCCAACTATTGTTTTCGGGTCAGGTCATGACCTCATGGGTGGTGGGATCTACACCTGGGATGGGCTCCTCACTCACTGGGGAGTGGGCTTGTAGATTCTTTCCCTCTAGCCTGCTCATGTGCCCCTGCTCACTCTATGATCTCCTATATGTGCGATTTTCCTTTCCCAACTTGTCATTGACAGGATTTAGTATCCAGTTATTGTATCCTCACACAATGTGTTGGGGAATGTCCTTTCTCCGGTATTTCTATGAACTTGTATAATGTGGAAAATGTTTTTGGGTAAGGTGTTTGTCTGAAGTCAGTGGAGAAGTCTGGATTTTTTTTTCTGAAAACTTTTTTGACTAGTGATATATTTCTTTATGGTTATAAAACAATTCAGATTGGCTATTACTTCATTTTTAAAAAAAAAAGATTTTGTTTATTTATTCATGAGAGACATACAGAGAGAGGCAGAGACATAGGCATAAGGAGAAGCTGGCTCCCCGCAGGGGTCCCAATGCAGGACTTGCTTCCAGGATCCCAGGGTTGAGCCAAAGGCAGGTGCCTAACCACTGAGAACCCCAGGTACCCCTTGTCTATTCCTTCTTTTGTGATTTTTGACAAGTTATTTTTTTCTAAAAATTGGTCACCTTTTTCTGAGTTTTCAAACTGATAGGCATAAAATGGCATATATAATATCTTCTTTTTCCTCAAATTTAATTTTGAAAATGTCTCTCCTACAGATAATTGCAAGAAAATTACAAGAAATACTCATATATCCTTCACCTGGATTCACCCGTTATTTTTTGTCACATATGTCATTCTCTGTCCCTCCCCTGTGTGTATGAGTTTTATTTTTTTTAATTTTATTTATTTATTCATGAGAGACACAGAGAGAGATAGAGGCAGAGACACAGGCAGAGGGAGAAACAGGCTCCATGCAGAGAGCCTGACGTGGGACTCGATCCCAGGTCTCCAGGACCCTAGGCTAAACCGCTGAGCCACCGGGGCTGCCTTGTGTATGAGTTTTAAATGTTTCATTGAATCATTGGAGTTACTTGAAGAAAATACTTCAGCATATATTTTTTAAGAAAAATAATAGTCTGCTACAAAGTCTTTTTATTTT